GCCAAGGAGAGTGAAGGCTGTAGGGAGGGGTTGTCTCACAAAGGGCCACGAACCGACTCCAAAGCCCGCGTCCGGTCCAAGTGTTTTACTTTCTACATTGTATTTCCCTCCTGTATCCCCAAGGACAGTTTTGTGAAATGTTCCCGTGCGGTCTTAGCTAGGCTTTGGGGAAATTGAGGGAGGTGGATGGAGGGGCAGGAGCGTGGGTGGGGAGCCACGGAGCTTGGCGAAGCCGGTTAGGAGATGGCAAGAGGCCAACTGCAGATCCCGGGGCCAGAGGCGAACGAGGGGCAAGCCCAAAGAACGGATTTGCTATCATTCCCGAGGATGGTCCCAAATACTTGGGGAAGGAGAACCCTGGAAGGCCGAACAGGTTAAAGGTGTCCTTCAGGACACCCCCGTCCCCAGAAGAACATGGCTTGGCCCCCCTGCCCCCCAAGACTCGAGATGTGGTGTGACTTCACCAGGGTGGGAGGCCCTGGCAGGCCGGCGATCCCTGGATTCCCTCAGCCTGTAGTAACGGGCTGTCTGGGCCATCTTATTTTTCTGAAGAAGCTTTTTTAAATTTAATTTTGTGTTTTCGGCAAAGTCATTTTGTCTCTGGGCCTGTCTGGGGCAGTCAGAGGGGAGATGGAGGAGGGCAGGGAGTGGGGATGGAGGCAGCTAACGCCTCCTCACTGGACTCACTGGACTCCCTGGCCCCCGGCCACTCGCCCATCACTCGCAGCCTCTGCCGCCCGCCTGCCCTCACACAGGACTCTTTCAGGTTCCAAACTGCCGGCCTGGTTTGTTTTTTTAAGAAAGCAATAACCGCAACACATTCACTGTGGCTCTTTATAGCTTTCCATATGTATAATCACTCTTTCTCTCTTCAGTTTTTCCAATGTTTTTTTCTTTTAAATAAATGCTCATAAATTTTACTGGTGAAAGGATGAAAAAACATACCTAAAAAGAGCAGTTTGTTGGAAGGGGAAAGGAAAAAAAAAAAAAAAAAACCAAGCAGAATGTAGAAAAACTGAACTCCTATTTAGCATTATATACCTAAGAAATGAAAAACAAAAAAAAAAGTTCAGATTTTACGAAAAAGAGGTTTTCTGTAGTATCTCTAAGACTTGCATGTTTAAGTCTTGAGCTTTTACTTGATACACTTAAACCCCTCCAGCCAGCACCTTCCTGGGCTTGCTGAGGAGACCCTTCAGTCAGAGGAGGAAGACCCCTGGCTTTAGTCTTCTCTCAGCCGTTAGGTTCATGTAGGGCCACACAGAAGTTCAATGATCCAGAGACCCCCAGTCTTTATAACTTTAAGGGGAGGGGGGTTGGACCAGAAGCTTTTAAAGGACCCTGGAAAGTTCTCTGGCTTGATGGTTAAGTCAGCCAATTTAACTAGAGCAAAGAAACGGATTCAGAGACCCCTTCAGATCTTCTCTCCCTTCAGAGAAGCTTCTGGAGACAGCCGGCTGTCTTTCCAATACCCATTCTCCCCGTTCTCCTTACCAACCAAACTCTGATTTTATTTGGGGCAGCAACGTGCTCAACTATAAGGTGATTTTCCAGCTTCCGTTGCAGCTGAGCTTGACTACCTGACACAACCCCAGCCGACAGAGTGTAAGCTGAAGTCCCTGGATGGGCCAGCCAGCTGCGGGCTCACCCCTGCCCTTCCTGCCTGGAATTCAGTCACATGACGGGGTGTAGCAAAACAGGCCAGGCCAGAGGGGCCTGGGCCCCCAGTGCCTCAAGGAGTCACGTTCAGTCAGGTGGGCTGCTCTGCCCACCTCAGGCAACTTAGTCCATGAAAAAAATAAAACCCCGATCTGATTAAGCCACAGTAAGGTGGGTTTCTGTCACCTGATACTAAACCTAAGTACTAATCTGTATGAGGCCCAGGAGGAGAAACACTCTTTCCACAAATACTGAGTACCTGCTGTGCACCTGACAGGAGCTGAGTGAGGCTGAAGAGCCCAAACATGGTCCCTACCCTCACAGAGCAGCCAAACTAGTGGCAGAAACAAATCAACAAAGAAGTCAATTAATTATCATTGTAATCACGGAAATACATAAGGCCTTGGAAAAGAGGATAATAGATCCACTTCTAATGGGTGGTTCTAGAAGGACTGGGGTGAGGAATTTATATTGAAGGGAAAAATTTAAGGAGTGGGCCATTTGGAGCAAGAGGGGGAGGAGAGAACGTTCCAGAAAGAAGGAGCATCATGTGCAAATGCTTCCAGTTGGGAAGGAACTGAGAGGAGGCTGGTGAGGTTGCGGCCAATGAGCAAGGTGTTCAGGCAAAGTGGGAGACGTCCCCAGGGCTAGCCATGTAGCATCTTGGGTGGGGCGGGGGGTGGTTAATTCATTGAAGGATTTTAAAGAGGAAGTTGCCTTTCAAGAAGACCCCCTTCTGTAAAGCAGTTTCAGCTCCAACTTTCATGAGTCTATTGGCTGTACACAGGTCTTACCAACATGACTATGAGAACAAGTTCCTGGCCCTTGGTCCTAAGGGGCTCTGGGCACGACTCAGGGCATGACTGCCACTCAGTTAGCTGGATGCCCCTTAGCTACCACGCTGAGTCTGAGCTTCTTCATCTGAAAATCAAGACAGTAAGAGTCCTACTTCTTAGACCTGTGAGGAGGCAATGTGTTGAATCCTGTAATGCACCTGGAACCATGCCTGGCTAGGTGCTAGAAAAGCTTATTATTTTCACTGTTGTTACTGAGAAACCCATCAGGGTCCAGATACTCCTGCTTCTAGGGCAACGCCTCTCCAGCGTGGCATTAGCATCACCTGGGTCCCATCCCCAGAGATTTGGGTTCAGTAGGTCTGGGGTGGCCTGGGAATTTGTATTTCCAGACTTTGTATTGATGCCGGTGGTCTCCAGACCACACTGCTTTAGGTGAGGGCCAAGGCAGCCCCTTAGGAACATCTTGGAGAAGGATGACCAGCCTCCCGCTGTTGTAACCACATTCAGCCCTAATGGATAATGGCAGAGGGTGGAGATGCTGAGCCCCAACTTCCCCAGGAAGCCTCAAGTGTGTTCTTCTGGGAGGCAGGAGAGCAGGTGGTTCTCAGCCTTTAAGGGACCTCACAACTCCTGGGGCAGAGGGTAAAAATACAGATTCGGGGGGTACACCCCAGAGATTCTGTTTCAGTCTGGGAATGGAACTACCTTCACATTAAACGACTCCCCGTGGACTCCGCTACAGGTGTGGTCACACATCACGCTTGGACAAATGGCGACATAGTGGTTTTGGGAGTTAGACACACCCAAGTTCAAATCTCCCTCAACCACTTCCCATCCATGTGGCCTCATGTGGCCTTTAAAACCTCTCCGAATCATGATCGTGCTTTCCTCATCTGAAATACAAGCTTATTAATAATGGTAGTATCCGCCCCAAGAGGATGAAATGAAAATATTTGCGCAGAGGGTACAAAAGTTATAATCACAGACTCCAGTGTGCAAAGGTATAACTTGCTTTATTTGTCTATAGCTTATACTAATTCAGCCCATGGTCTCATATTTCCACTAATAGCAGAAGACGTTAGCTTGGAAATTCTAGCTCGCTCAAATCGCTTCCAGCGTAAAAAAAAAAAAAAAAAAAATTCCGCCTCTCTTGAGGAACCGCGGCCCGAATCGGGATGCTCTCCTCCCCCGTTGTTGGCTCTTCCCCTGGAGATGATCTGGGTTCTTCAGGTGTTCTTTACCCTGACTTCCTCAGGCCTCCTCCTGGCACAGCTGCTCCTGGGCACAGGCATCCCCTGGCCCCGGTGCCTCCGTGGCCCCTGGGCTTAGCCTTCTTGCCTCTACGCCAGGCCTCCTCACTATTTCTTTTTTCAGAGCTCCCAGTAGCTGCACTCCTCAGGTGTACCCAGCCATACGGGTATACCCATGGATACATTTTAATGACCTTTCTAGACCCCTTGCTCAGCCCTTGTTCATCTGCTGCTCAGTTGCCATGTTGGACATGGGCCTTACCTAGAGATTTGATCCCCGCTGATCCCCGCCTCCCACTGAGTCAACCCCTGTCTTCTTTTACAGGGCACGTAGAAAGGGGGACTCGTTCTCCTTTCCCCCTGCTTTCTTCCATCTCCGTGATTTAGAGTAAAACCCTGTGCTCTGTGTCCTGCAGGGGCCAAATCACGGGTCCCACAATCCTTTTCTTTTGTGACCAAAACAACAAAAGTCTGGCCCTTGCCAATGAAAGTCTTATTTTCTGCCTCAGAATTACACAGACCCTTTCAGCTCTTCAGTGGCCCGCTTGCTTCTTCAGAGGACCTGCCTTCCCCTGGGGGCAGGACAGAGAGACCCACGACCCCTGCTCCCCAGCGGTGGAGGAAGGCAAAAGCTGTAAGGAAGCCTCAGGATGGGGTGGGGGCACCTCATTTGTATCTCAAAATATCGTCCCTTTCTCTCCCTTAAATAAAGTGCTTGCTTAGCAAATGCCTGGCCTCGACTCACTGCTCGGTGCCCGACCAGCGTGGTGACCGTGGGTGGAGAGAAGGGGGAAGGAGGATTTCCTCTCCCTGGGTGGGTGGTGCTTTGCTGTGCTGGCTCTGACTGGCTTGCGACCCTGCTCCCCGGACCAGGGGAGACTGTGAGGGTGTTCACCTTCCTTTAGGGGGCGAACGGGGTCCTCCAAGCCGGGGCCTCCGAGATGTGGCCCTCCCCTGCTACACAGCATGGAAAGGAAGCAGGCAGAGAAGGAATGTGCCTGTCCGTACCCACCTCTCCCTCGGGCTGCCGGAGATGCCACCACTGGAGCCCCACTCCTTTTGATCAAACACTGGGCCTTCCGGATCATCTCAGAATGTAAACACCAAGGGGACAGTGTGTATCCAGTAGCTCCCAGAGAGTGAGTTATCGGCTCTGGGCCTGGAGAACGCTGCAAGAGGACGAAATCTAAGGGCTGCTAGCCCCCTGATCCTCCTGAATTCCTGAGGAGTGAAGAGGCATTTCAAGCCGCCCCGGTCCCCTCAGTGCTGAGCCCAAAGCACCAGAGGCCACCAAGCCTGTTCAAACTTGTTATTTATTTCCTAAGGGGTCAGGGTAAGGGTGTGGGGAGGACCATGTATCACTTGGGTTTCAGGAGGAGCCCCAGGCCTTGGGGAAGGGAATGAATGCTCCTGCTCTGCCCTGAGTGGTGTTGCTAGTAGGGGTGATTCAGGGTGTGCTCCATGATGGCGCGAAGCGCCAGCCACGTCTCCTGGGCCGTGGGGACGATCTGGGAGGCCGGCAGCAGGAAGCCATAGCTCCCCGTGTCCCGGAGCTCGAAGGTGAAGGAGTACTTGATGCCACTGTCATAGGCCCAGTCGACAGTGATCCCGCTGGCCACATCTGGGTATAAAAGGGCAAAGAAATGCCCCCAGAAGAAAGAACAGGGTGTGGTCCTAAGGTGCAGAAGTATCCTGAGTGGAAAGTGGGCCCTGGGGGCCAAACCCCAACTCACCCCAGACAACACCACACCTTCTGACCCCAGCGTCAACCTGGGCCACACTCTGTCCCCCCTCCCCATTCTCTGCCCCAGCAAAAAGAAAGCTCCCTGAGGCCACCAAGGAGCTTTCCTTCAAGAAGGATCTTCTCCTTCAAGGAACATCACAGTAAGCCAGACATTGGGAACCAGGCATTAATTAATGCTGCAAAGAAAGAGTTGCCTGTTTCTGGGGACCACCACTCACCCCTCTATTCAGATGTGGACAGCAGCTCTGACCCCGCTCAGTTAGATCTACGGCACTGCCCTGTGGCCAACCAGCCCTGCCAGTCAGCAAACAGCCTGCACCTGCCCAACCCCAGGTGGATGTGGGGCCTAGAGCAGCACCCAGGGGAAGGCTCACTCACAGAGGGTGGTGCTGATGCTGCCATAAATGTACTCGATCCCGTGGACCTCATACAGGGCCTGCACTGCGTCCTTGGCAAGATTGTACTGCGAGATTGCATCCAGAGGGTGAGAGGCTGGGGCTCCCCACGCTCCCACACCCTCACCAGCCGCTGAGAAACCCGGAAGTTGAATGTGCAGATGGCTCTCATGAGAAGGGAGCACAGCCCCTCTGGCTTTGAACTTGACCACATGTGAGAACAACAAGCTCTCCCCCTCCTCCCTAACATGGGGTCAACTGGTCCAGACCCTTGTTTCAGAGTGAGGGCCTGAACCTCTGGCGGTCTGCCTGATGCCTCCCCCAAGCCCCAGGCAGCCAATCTCACCAACTCCTTCTGGTTTGGAACCGGCTCCAGTGAGTGGCCATAAGGGTACATGATCATCTGAGAGTAGCTGTGAATGGAGATCAGAGCCTTGATGTTCCCATGGGCAGTGATGAAGTCCACAATGGCCGCCACCTCAGGCTCCGACTGAGGGGAGGGCCCACGATAAGTCTCTGAGCAGGGGTTGTCATTAGAACCATTTCCTGGAAGAAAAATAAAACCATCCAGAGGGTTCGAATTCCCAGGTTTGGGAAAGACAATGTTCACAAAACATCCAGGTATTCCTCTACATCTCCCAGCCTCCTCTGCAGTTTGTTTGAGGTCATGTGACTACTTCTGACCAATGAGAATGTGAGCAGTAATGATGGGTCACTTCTAGTTTGAGGCTGTTAAGAGCAGGCATGACTTCTCCACAGTCTCTTCTGTCTATGTGGTTGGGAGCAAAAAACTCTAGATGGAGGAAGCATCCTGGATCCCTCTGTCACAGTCGGAAGAAAGCTGCCAAGGAGAGTCACCTACCCACGTTGGACTTCGTGTGCCTGAAAAATAAACTTTTACCGTGTTCAGCCACTGAGATTTGGATGGCATTTATCACTGCTGCACACCCTAGTCTAATACATCAGAGGAGTGCATTCACACCATGACTCAGCAACTCTGTGGGCCTTCTAGAGAGCTCCTTTGGCTTGCCCTTTGCTTAAGTCCTGACCAAGGACTTAGAAAAGCAGGGCTGCCTTCAGAGGAAACTCTAGGTCTCCAACCCTGGCTTCCCCGACGAGCGGCGACCCCTTCGAGCTGACCCTTCTCTGCCGACTGTCCACTGCCAGGCCGAAGGCTTGGGGCGGTTGAGCGCTCAGACTGAGTATCTGCTCAAGCTTTGCCACAACCGTGGCCCCAGGAGCAACATGGACTTGGGGCCAGGAAAAGAGAGAATAGAGCCCCATAGCTGCCTGAGACTGGTCTGGGAGCCACAGATGTAAAGAGCCTTTGGCAATTCTTCTTGGGGACCTCAGTTAGGGGAGAGGAGCTGAACTTCTGTTTTGTTCACAAATTTAGTTGGTTCCCATCTCCTAGATTCTTTGCTCTCCATCTCTTTCCTTCCTCTTAGCCTCTTCTTGGGTCTTCTTCCCTTCCCCAAGGGCCCTGTCATGGAGGGCTGGGCTGTGGGCTGGCCCAGGGACCAGCTGAGATGCTGCGCTAGGCTTGGAGCAAACCACTGCTCCCCGGGGAGTGCAGGTGAGGGCGGCATGAGTGGGAGGGATGGTCTACAGATGACTCATTATGCAGCAATCAAATTAAGGCAATGATAAAACCATAAACAAAATCTTCCCGCCTGAGTCACCAACCCAGGCACACACTATTTCTGTCCGCAGGCAGGCCCAGAGGCGGTTCTGTCACCGGGGAGTGCGTCCCCCCTTGGTCTGCGGGGTCCCACCTGGGGTGGGGACCCAGGCTAGAAGGGGATGTGTCTGCAGGAAGCGAGGGTGAGGAGCAGCCCCACAGGCTGGACAGCGGCCCTGTTTGTTGTGTCTGCCGGGAGCTTCTGCACCTGCTCCACTTGATGAATGACAAACAGCAACAGATGAGCAGAGCGGGGGAGGCTGAGAGCTTTGTCTGCGTTTGCAGCCCACGCGGGGAAAGCGGTTCCCCTGCCAACGACCAGGTGGCTTTGCCCAAATATGGAGAAACACTTCAGGCCATTAGTTCTGGTTTGAGCTAAGCAGCATAAACTAATCTTCCCCGGACCAAATGGGAATTAGCTGCCTGCCTCTCTCTGACGTTCACAGTCCAAGTCCTCTGAGCCTGCCTGTGTCACAAGTACCTGCTAATGGATTCATTAGCTATTTATTTTTCCTTCTCTGAAAATGTAATTTGTAGCAAGGGGAAATCTCTGGAAGGACGTGGTAAATTATTAAAAGCAGTAATCTTTGGGTAGTGGGATTATGGGAGTTTTTTGTCCCCCCTGGGCTTTTTTTTTCCCATATTTTTTTTTTTTATTGTGTATATTACTGATTTTCCCCCCTCTCCTGCCCCCTATGGAGAAACACACAAAAAAGTTATTTTCCTTAAGAGATGATTTGTCTTTCTGCTAGCCAGTTTATCTTGGGGTCCGTGGGCACCGCTTCAGCCAGTTCCGAGGGGCCCACATGGATGCCCACTCGGGGCAAGTGTCTGGTCATTTGGAGGTGAAAACACCCATTTTTACACGGTTGTGTTCCCTTACACAAGCAGCTACACACACAGCACCGGATTCTCAGACAACCCCCACCCACAACACCACGGGCTGAGAGGCCAGGAAAAGAGAGAATAGAGCCCTATAGCTGCCTGAGACTGGTCTGGATGCTTCAGATGCTGATTTTTCAATGAGAACCAACTGAAAGAAGCCAGATTTTCAAAGGGATGGGAAGATCTAGAATGTTCTATCTCATTGGTTTGGCCTCCCATCTGTGGATCTGCTTTTCAACAGCAATGGCACTGTCTCCTTGGAGCCAAACTCCGACCCCCCACCCCACCCCAGTGTAGTGGGTGCCACATCTGGAGCCTGAAGGCTGGGCCCATGCAACCTGTCCTGGCTAGACCTAGCATGCCACCCATCCAATTGCTGCATTCCCAGGATCCACATAATGGTCTCTAGGTTTTCTGGAGGCCTCAGTTTCCCCATCTAGTCCCTATTCTCCTGGTATGGTAAGGGAGATAATCAGGAATAACACCAAGGAACTTGGGAGGAAGCTGCCCACCTCTGCCTAGAACAATATGACCCTGCAGACATGCACCAGGCCATCAGCCCAGGATTACAAAGCAACTAAGTCAAAAAATAAAAACCAGGCTCAAGTCAGAGTTGATAAGAAATTGGCTTATTCTATATTAAAACTATTGTTCTGGCCTCCTGAAAGGGCAAATTTCAGGTCCTGGCTCTCAGGAAATGAGTTTGGAGGCATTTTCTTTTGGTGGGCTCCCTACAAGGAGGGGCTAGAGGGATTTGCAGGGGAGGGCATAAAAACTGAGTTTTGAGCAACCAGCAAGACCATCTTGTATCTCTTAAAGGTACAACCTGAAGACTATCTTGTACCTTCCCCTACCATATTTAGAATTTGACCCTTGCAGTTGGTTCCCCCTGCAAGGAGCTGTTTCCCGTGTTTCCCATGGAGCCTGCACATATGCATATGTTGACCACGCATGTGCAACCTCTCCCCATATCGCACGGCCAATCCTAGGCATGTGTTTGTCTGTCCCCGTCCATGACTCACTTGCATTAGCTAACTACCCCGTCTCCCAAGGTATGCGTCCACATAACCTGACCGTGTGGGAGACGTGCCAAGGACCAAGTCCTCCTCCAGCCCTGCCCCCAGGTCCAGCAGACTGCCATACCTCCAAAGCCTGACTTCCAGTTCCTGTTAAGATCCACACCAATGCAGAAGACTCCAGGTCTGGTGGACTTGTTCTTCCTCCACAGGCGGTTCTGAAAAAGCCCGTGCAGGTGACATTTACCCCTTCCCCAGGGGTGGGAGCCTCTGACATCCTGACCTAAGAAGGCGGGTCTGGCAGGACAGAGAGCGGCAAAAGGAAGGAATCTCTAGGGCAGGCTGCGGCTGGCATGAGGATGGGCCAGGACGGCAGATCAGACTAAAGCCAGGATGTGGGAAGAGGCCCGAGGACAGGTGCAGGCTGCCAGCAGTGGCCTTCCCGGGCAGCAGGACAGGGGTGGAAGGGCAAGAGCCATAGCTGACCCGAGTCACCGGCCAGCCCCCAGGGAACCTCAGCTCAGCTTCCCAAAGCCATGGCAACCTTTTCTGCATCCCCCCCCAGAGCTGACCCTGACCCTTGCCCCTCTCCCTCCCTCCCAAATGCCCTCACCATGCTGTGGGTAAATGCAAACCCATCAGGGTTGGTGACAATCTCCATGAAGATGTCCATGGCATTCAGTATGTTTGTCAGGGTGCTGTCTTTGCCATATTCACTGACAATCTGCAAGCGAGGGCAGAGTGGGGATGGGGGAGGGTTGGAAGGGATGGGAGGCGCTGCCGGGCTCTGCTCTAAGGTGGGTCAGGGCATTTGCACAGCCAGTGGCTGCAGGCAGGGGTGGCATCAAGCCATCAGATACATTCTTTGTGCAGAATGAAAGGCTTGGATTTTAAACAACCAGGAGGCAGAGGCTGGGTGTGGGCACTGTGCTAAGAAGGGCAGAGCACACGGCAACTGTTCCAAAGGACAGGAGGGGAGAGAGCCTCTGCGTTTAAACAAACCCAGTATAAATTTTCAACTGGAGACACCCCGAAATAGTCAAACAGTCCCCACCCCTGCCCCACCCCCAATATCTGCGCTGACCTTCTTGGCAGTCCAGATGCCAGTGGCGTGGGTGATCCACTCCCGGGAGTGGATTCCAGTGTCGATCCAGATGGCCCGGCGCTGAGAACCTCCAGTGCTGAACTGGGTAAAAGCACAAGGTCCCAAACAAGTTTGAACTGAGACAGCTGCAGGGCTGTCCCTAGGCTTCCCAGGAGCAGGCCCCAGAGGTCTGCGCACCACCTGGGGTGGCGCTCTGGGCCCAGGCCGGGGACTGAATGTGCAGGTACTTGTGCCTGAGTCCACGAAGTGTGGGGGCCCTGGGGCGCAGTGGGGCTTGTGCACGTGGGGAGTGGAGTGATCCAGCCCGAAGCACAGAGCTTCCTTCAACTAGTGCTTCTCAAACTTTAAAGGGCACATGAATCCCCCAGGATCTCACTACCATGCAGACTCTCAGTAGGTGTGGGGAGGGGTCTGGGGTTGGGCATTTCTGACAAGCTCCTGGGGATGCTGCTGCAGGTGCCAGGACCACACTTTGTGTAGCAAGGTCTTAGACAACATTAAAGGGAGAACACGCCCAGCCACCAGGGGAAATCAAGGCAGAGATAGAGGAGGTCACATCCCAAGGGAGAGAGGAGGACACTTGGCCCTTTGGAAGAGTCTCCCGGGGCAGGGTTGAGGGCAACAGTGCCTGTCTGCTCTGAGAGCTGGGTGTCAGGGGCCCTGTGGGGTCCAACCTCCCAAGCGCCCTTTAGGGCACATGCTAGGAATTGTTTTCCGGGTGGGGGGGGTGCTTCACACTCCTACCTATCCTGCTTCCACTCATGACCAAGGGCATTGTGGCTGCCAACTTTGCTCAAACTCTGTTTCCAGTGGCCCCTGGGAAGGGCTGGGAGGTCCCCACAGACTCAGGCCTATCTGAGGGGCTGCCTGAGCCAGACGACCTCAGTCATTTGGAAATGAGCCCTCTATTTACCTCTCTTCCCATTTAACAGATGACGCAACCAAGGGAATAGGGAGAAAGCCGGCTCCCCCACATTCACATCCCAAGACCAGGGTGACACAACCGCCACCCTGCAGTTCCATCTCCTTCGCAACCCTCCCACCTACTTCCTGACCGAGGATATGCCGGGTCATGGCACTGTCGCCCGCCCATACCTACAAGGGTGGGGCCCTGAACACCACAACCCCAGAGCTGTGGGTCACCTCGGGGCAGGAGGATACACATCTTCTCTGTCCCTACAACTCCCACCCAGCCATGAGCCCACATGAGTTCAACCTTATGCCGGAGGCTCTCACTGTAGAGTCTAGTGGTCAACACCACCAGCTCTTACCTTCAGGACAAGAATGGACCGATTTTCAAAGCTGTGGCCAATCCGAATTTTTGAGACAATATCTGAATACTCAGTTACAAAGTTGTCAATCCAGCTATATATCTGCAAGAAATGATGTATATCAGACAGGCACTTAGGCAGGGAGGGGCAAACCCCAGGGTCTCCCCGGATATTCTCCCTCCCTCATCCCACCCTCCTGAATGCTTTCCCACCTCCCTTGAGGATCTAAAAGAACCCAGATGGAGAACTGCCCAAATCAAAGACACCCACCAGGCCTAAGGCAATAAGCTGCAGTCGGCCTGGATTCGAAGGCCACTCACCACACCCAGAGCTAAGCCTTCGCGCGTGATCAGTCACTCAGTCCCCAGGGTCAGCCTGCAAGGCTCTCTCAGGGTGGAAGTTTCTCTTGCTTCCATTTGCTGGGCCCACTGAGTCTATCTGACAGACCCCACAGACCCTGCAGTGCTGTTAGGGTCTTCTTGGCCCTTTTAGATTCTAAGCCCTCTGAAGGCAGGATTATTTATGTCTGATACTAATACACATTGACAGGCCATATTAACCCCTTCCTTTCCTCTATCAATGTATATACAGAGGAATGTATGTATATAACTGAATTACCAAATACATGGGGAAAAATGTATTTTTTCTATTACAGGCCATGTGAAACAGGGAGTAACGGTCAGAGAGTGGGCAATACCAGTATCACTATGTCCTTTACATGAAAATGGGACCTGAGCCTTGAGTTTCTTTCTGGACTGGGCATCTCTATGTTCTCCTTTATAAACCGGTCACAGTTGGTCACACCTGCCCTAGCTGGCTGTCACTGTGATCAAGCATTTTCTCCAACCGAGGCAACTCTGTTCTACTCTACCAAGTGGCTCTCCAAGATGCCTGGCTTCCTGCCCCTGCTACACCCTAGCACCCACAGCTCGGGCCCCTTGACACCAGAAATGCTTGTGAAGAGGTCGAGACCCCTGAATCCCCAGCCTCAGTGTTGGCTAAGGAGACGACACCCCCTGCAAGTGACGCGTCCCTACCTCAGCATCCTGCCTAGCAGGCCCATTACTCTGTCCCACACCTACCCCGGGCGGCACTGTTGAGCCACAGTTCTCTCTGAATCCTCGCTTCTGGACTTCTTGGAAGCTGAGAGTCTTTCTCCCAGTGTCTGCTCTGCATTCCCCAGTGTCGGCTCACACTCTCTCTCAGACCTCAGTCTTTCATCAGTTTCTGCCCGAGTCTGGAGACCCCAGGAGCCCAAAGGGACAACAGAGCCCAGAGCTTGACTGGGCCGACAGACCTACCTCCTCCAGGGTGTGGTAAGAGGAGTAGCTGAAGCTACTGGTGCTGCGCTCCAGCCGGCGGGACTTTGCCATGGCTTCTCTCTCCTCATCCAGCAGCACCTAGGAGACAAGAGCACACACTGGAAGGGAAGGGGAGGACTGGGCCAGGCCCGCCTCCCCTGAGCCCTGCCTCAGCTGGCTAGGCACAAAGACAGCACTGACACAGGAAAACAAGCCACCATGAGTGTGAGCTGCACAACAGGAGGAGACGCTGGTAGCTAGGTGACTCTGCTTGGCAAGCCAGCATTCGTGCCGCCATTTCCCAAGCGAGCACAGGGCGAGGAGTCCGGAGAGCTGTGTTCCAAGTCTGCCGCCAACTTGCTGTGAGGCCTTGGCCTCAGTTTCATCAGCATGAACACTGGGACAGTGAGAACCTGCCTTGCCCATATCATAGGATAAATGTAATGGATATGAAAGTGTTTTAGAAAAGTGCTCATGATCTACTGGTCCTCTAGGGACACTGCTGAGTCAAGGCCCAAGCTGAACCATGTACTCCTGGAGGAGCAGAGGGCTCCCCCGACCCACAACAGCCACTCTACCCACAGGAAATAGCCTAACAAGTGACGTCCAGGCCATCTGGAAAACCAGCTGTGGACTAAGCAGGGCCAAATAATTATGGGATTAATGTGCCAATGGTCTTTTACTCACCTTCTTAACTGCCTCTGAAACACAAGTATAGGTGAGCCAAAAGCAATGTCCGCAGGTGTCATTTGGAGTTGGTACTCAGTCCCTACGTGCTCCTTCCCACTGACCACAGGGAGGGCATGTAGTTGGATTGGATTGCCCTCCTGCATCGTTCTGGGACACTTTTCCCAGCTTGGGACTCAGTGAGGTGGGCAGGTGCCCTTCACCCCAAGCTCATACCCTTACATTGGACAGAGACACCCCAGGATTCTGTGCTGACTTGCAGCATGGGCAAGTTGGGAAGTGCCTGGGCCACTGAGCTGTGAAGGCTGAAGACCTCCCCCCAAAGTCACCCCGGTTTGAGCTCTGCAACCCAGTCAGTCTTAGTGATGCCTTGCTTCAGGCCAGAGCATCCTTTTAGTTTACGAGGCATCCCTATACTCATTATCTCAGTTGATCCAGTCAGATGACCAAATGACAGGGTAGGAATTAACTATTCATGTTTTAGAGATAAAGCAGATTGGAGAGGTGAAGGGACTCAGTGGCAAAGTCAATAAGGGGCAGAGGTGAGGTAAGAACCCAGATACCCTATTCCTAGCCTTGGGTTCCTTAAGGCTGGCTAGCTATCAAAACCCTAAGGCTAATAAGAATAATAAACACATATATTATTTATAATATGCATGATAGACATATATATATATATATGCACACACATAGATATACATATCTACAGGAATATACAGTTGATCCTTGAACAATGAGAGGATTAGGGGCACTGACCCCCACACAGTTGAAAATCCACACATAACTTTTGACTCCCCAAAAACGTAACTACTAATAGCCTACTGTTAACCAGAAACCTTACATAAACAGATGATTAACACATTATTTTGTCTGTTATATGTATTATACACTGTATTCTTACAATAAAACAAGCTAGAGAAAAGAAAATGTTATTAAGAAAATCATAAGGAGGGTGCCCGGGTGGCTTAGTCAGTTTAGCCCCTGCCTTCGGCTCAGGTCATGATCCCAGCGTCCTGGTATCAAGTCCCACATCAGGCTCCTTGCTCTGCGGGGAGCCTGCTTCTCCCCTCCCTCTGCCTCTCTCCCTGCTTGTGCTTGCTTTCTCCCTCTCTCTCCGTGTCAAATAAATAAATAAAATCTTAAAAAAAAAAAGAAAGAAAGAAAAGAAAATCATAAGGAGGGGTTCCTGGGTAGCCAAGTCCATTAAGTGTCCGACTCTTGGGGGGGCGCCTGGGTGGCTCATCTGTTAAGCATCTGCCTTCGGCTCAGGTCATGATCCCAGGGTCCTGGGATCGAGCCCCGCATTGGGCTCCCTGCTTGGTGGGAAGCCTGCTTTTCCTTCTCCCACTACCCCTGCTGTGTTCCCTCTCTCGCTGTGTCTCTCTCTGTCAAATAAATAAGTTAAAAAAAAAAAGCGTCCGACTCTTGATTTTGGCTCAGGTCATGACCTCAGGGTCATGAGACCAAGCCCCGTGTTGGGCTCCACATTCAGTGCGGAGTCTGCTTGAGATTCTCTCTCTCCCTCCCCCTCTGCCTCCACTTGTGCCCTCTCTCTCTCAAAATAAAGAAATAAAACCTTTTTAAAAATAGAAATCATAAGGAAGAGAAAATACATTTACAGTATTGTACTATATTTATATTAAAAAAAAAATCCATGTATACCCACACAGTTTAAACCCATATTGTTCAAGGGTCAACGGTATGCTTATCCGTGTGTGTGCGTGTGTGCGTGTGTGTGTGTGTGTGTATACAGAGAGACCAAGCAAAAGCAAATGTGTAAAATGTTAACAACAGATAAAAGTCCATCATACTACTCTTGCAGTTAGAACGTGTTTTAAAATGCGGAGAAAGGGGAACCCTCCTACACTGTTGGTGGGAATGCAAGCTGGTGCAACCACTCTGGAAAACAATATGGAGTTTCCTCAAACAGTTGAAAATAGAGCTACCATACGATCCAGCAATTGCACTACTGGGTATTTACCCCAAAGACACAAATGTAGGGATCCGAAGGGGTATGTGCACCCCAATGTTTATAGCAGCAATGTCCACAATAGCCAAACTGTGGAAAGAGCCAAGATGTCCATCGACAGATGAATGGATAAAGAAGATGTGGTATAGATACACAATGGAATATTATGCAGCCATCAAAAGGAATGAGATCTTGCCATTTGCAATGACATGGATGGAACTGGAGGGTGTTATGCTGAGTGAAATAAGTCAATCAGAGAAAGACATGTATCATATGACCTCACTGATATGAGGAATTCTTAATCTCAGGAAACAAACTGAGGGTTGCTGGAGTGGGAGGGGGTGGGAGGGATGGGGTGGCTGGGTGATAGACATTGGGGAGGGTATGTGCTATGGTGAGCGCTGTGAATTGTACAAGACTGATGAGTCACAGATCTGTACTTCTGAAACAAATAATGCAATGTATGTTAAGAAAAAAAAAAGAAGAAGATAGCAGGAGGGGAAGAATGAAGGGGAGTAAGTTGGAGGGGGAGACGAACCATGAGAGACAATGGACTCTGAAAAACAAACTGAGGGTTCTAGAGGGGAGCGGGGTGGGGGGGTGGGTTAGCCTGGTGATGGGTATTAAAGAGGGCACGTTCTGCGTGGAGCACTGGGTGTTATGCACAAACAATGAATCATGGAACACTACATCAAGAACTAATGATGTAATGTATGGTGATTAACATAACAATAAAAAATTATTAAAAAAATAAAAAAGTGTTTTAAAATAATGAAAAAAGCAATACCCCGAGCATAGGAAAACATGACACTAAAATGTCAAAAAATACCAAAATGTAAACAATGCCTGTTAGAATAGAAAGATTATGATTTTAAGCCATTTTAAAATTTTCTCTATTTTTACATTCTGGCAACATGCTTATACTAAAATACGTATGATCTTCTAAATGAATAAATAATACTAAAACAAAAATAAAAACCCCTAGTGGCTACAATAAAGGAGCAGCCATGGACTCTGGCCTCCACCATCCCTGCTGCAGATAAGGCCGCCGCCCAGTGACCACCTGCCCCCCACGCTGCCCCAGTCAGCTTGCTCACAACCCTCAAGTTCGCAGATTTAAAAGTAGGACTGGAGAGCAATGCCTGGACCTCATTTTCTTTTCTTTTTGAGCACCGACTGCCTGTTAGGCAATGGTGACTGCAATGTTTTCTGGCAGAACGGGCTGGGCTGGGCACATTCCCACTTGGGCAAAGCTGGGATTGCTGGTGGGGTGAGGGAAGGCCGGACGAGCCTTGATCCTCGCTGGCACAGGCACCACCCTGGGAAGCTCTAACAAAAGGGACTTGTCTTCTCCCAGGAACCCAACGGAAATCTCAGCAGCCCACCATGACCAATGCGTGCCCTAACGTCACTCTGGGCCGGGCACGACCAGCTGTGGAGAGCAGCTGCAGGGGGGCAAGCAGCCTGGGTTGGTGCACCCGGAAGTCCCCCTCTGGCCCCACAGGAGTGAAGGGTCCGTACATCCGAATGCCTAGGGAATTGGTGGAGGGCCTGAGGCGGTGGGCGAGGGTGGAGGACAGGGAGGAGAAATTGGGAAGACAGGACCAGAGGACCCAGCTCTTCCCACAGACCCCCAGGGATGCCCACAGGAACACAGCTCCCACGAGGCTGTTCTTTGTTCCACAGAACAGCTTGGGGGCAAATGGGAAATCAGCACCGAACTGCAAATAACTTTCCAAACACCCTCACGGGCTTGTGAATGGAGACAAGACCCGCGTACAGATTGGGAATGCTCAGCCCTCACAGCTGGGCCCCAGTTCCAAGAACACTAATCTACGCTGGCCTGAAAACCACACAGATGTTTGCTCCCTTCACAGGGCCGGGGAAGGAGCGGAGAGAACTAAGAATGCAGTCTTGCCACAGGCTCAGGGAAGCCTAATGACAGCCCTGTCAGGCTTCTCAGAGAGAAAAAGAAACAGCTCAGAAGTAAGCCATTTGCCTCCCTGGAAGCCATAACCTGACAAGGAAAGTAATACCTTGGTGTGAATTAATTTATGACAGGGGTAAGGAAGGATGGGAACACTGAGCAGAGAACAGCACCTCCAGGATGGAGGAGGGCAGGAGGCCGAGGGAGGCCCCGGAAAGGTGAAGGTGACGCCTGAAGGGAACCGGCGCTCGGCAGCTGAACTCCAGCCACAGACGCAAAATGGCCACGGCTCCGGGTAACAGCGGATGGGGAGCGTCTCGCCCCCCACCCCCACCCCCCAGCCACTCCCGCTCTGTGACAGTAGCAGGCACCTCTCCTTATATGCCCCCGGCCTTCTCCTCCAGGTGGGCCGCAACCGCAGTCCGCACCTACATGGCGGTGGCTACAGATCTGGGGTTCGCCAAATGGACCCCCTCAGAGGTCAAGGCTGAGTGGTGGCCCCACTGCCCAAAAGGC